TATAAAGTATCAGAGCATCTAGATACTGACAGACTTGAAAAAGGAAGAAAAAAAGACCTCATAATTCTTGTAAAACGTGCTAGCCAAAAGAAATTGTACTTACTTTTTACAGATTTTGTTTGTTTATGCCACCTGTTTTGTTTGTAACTTGTATACTTAAAAAGGAAAGTATCAGTAGTTTTATATTTTGATTTCCAAGGTTAGTCTGATGACTATTACATACTAGAAAATTATATTAGCATAAGTGTAGGTTTTATAATGCATGAGTGAATTAGCAAATAGAATATAGCAGTGGCTCTCTTGGCCAAGCTACCAATAAAATCTGGTTCAAAGGTCAAAGTTCTGGTTGTAATTTTTTGAAAGGACTAGGTCAAGTGGAAACACTGAAGAATATATATGCTTTAAATGTTAATACCTAAAGAAAAAAATGAATGATGTGATTGTTTGTACATTTTTTTCAGATTTAGTTGTTATCACAGATCAATAAATTTTGAAGATTTTATTATGAAGCCATTATTAATTTCTTTTTGACTTCAAACAAATACTGAGAACAAATGTCCAGAAGTAAAAAGACAACATGATAAATTGAACAATGAAGGTAATATAGCCTTCAAACTTAGTAATTCTCAACTCTAAAGGACTGACATATACAAGGAATGGATCAGTAGATTTCCGAAACTGTGATCTTCAGTGTTCTCTAAGCAGACTGTAAATGTGATTTTTCTATTTTGAGGATTTGGGTATACATTACCCATTACAGTTACCTCATTTGAATGGCAATCTTTAAACTTTTAATAAATTTTCAATTGTAATGCAAGAGTTAAATTGGAAATATATGGTTGAAATATGGTAGATATTCTTTTGTATTTTTTGTTTTGAAATCTTATTTTTGCTCTTGAAAGATCATCTTGCTTTCAGATGAATTCAATTGAGAATACAAGGCAAAGCTTTACAACAGTATATACTACTTGAGCCTGTGCTTTACCTACCATATAACCCCCGAAAGATTTTCAATGTTATGTTACACCAGCACACCCATCAGTACCACCAATGCCACCTCACTCTACTCCTAAAAATTTCTTAAATCCCAGGTCTCTAGGGTTATGTATCTAATTCAGGGAAACTGTTCTAGGAGCTCAAAACATTGACCAGCAACATCAGAAAATAATATTTTATTGAAAAATATTACATTTCTTTTTATTTATAGAGAACTATTGTTCTAATCATGCATTAATAATAAGAAACACTAATGACTGCATTACACAAGTCTATATTTAGCTGTCAACATTACATATAGGATATGTCCTGACTTCAGCAAATTGTTCCGGATGCAACACCTCATTTTGTGGAACAAGGATGCTTGAACTTTTACCCACTTCTTAGATAGGTACAGGAATTTAGCAGTCTGATAGAATGGTTAAGTGACTTTGTAATTTATGGGGCAAACTATGATGATTTAGAATTAACCTTTCAAATATTAAGAGAGAAGAGGCATAATCCTACAGGTTACTGAACCCAAAACATCTGCAATAATTGCAAAGTTGATATTCTATGTTTTCAATTATCAAACAAACTCAACTTATTTTTCTTTACTTGTAAAAATGGTCTTCTAACATCCTAAATAGTTTTCATGTATTAAAAATTACAAGTAATTGGCCATGTAATTTGGAATAAGTGTAAGCATAACATTTTGCACAACTTTAGCAATATATTGGCACTGTTCTTCAGTCTTCTGCCAGAAAAGGTCTGCATCCAAGTCTGGGTAGCCCTCTAAAGCACCTTTCTGAAGCTGGTCCACCATCACCTGTAGTAACAGCTTCATTCCAGACCCTGGAATGACCAATTTGAGTTGATAACATTAATTTACAAGGATATCTCCTAGATGTCAGGTGTTTAAATGAAAACACACACGCATGTACGCATGCACACATGCACGCACGCACACACACACACACACACGAGATTTAGAGATAAAGAGGCTAGAAGTAGGATTATGGGAGAAGGGGACATTCAGACGGGTAAACCCTTAGCATCAGTGGCCAAGTAATGAAGGAGGGGGGGGAGCTAGATTATGTGGGGATTACAAGGTAACTGTAAATCCAAACCTACATAATATCAACATACTCTGCCCAACATCCAAGATATGATCAACATTCAGTGTGATGAATGAAGAAAGAATTATGAATGAGAGTGAATATCTTCACAGTGCAAAAGATGTATTAGACTAAAGATATGAGAACAAGGACTGGCTCCAGACACCAGTACAAGGAAAAGCAGTATTAAAGTCAAGATAAGAAAAAGACCTTGGAATGATTGGAACCTAAGCCAAGAGGATTATATACAACAAAGATCACACTATCCTATCAGTGATCACAAGCGTGAAGGGCATGCAGACACAGATGTAAAAAATATCATCACAATTATCTCAAGGTCTACTCTGGTATGTAGTACAAATGTATGAAGTAAATACAAAGATGTAAGCAGCCACTTGATAGCCACT